CCGAAAACATCAGCTTTCCTGCTCCTCTGATGCTGCCTGGCCTGCTGCATTCCTCCAGCTCCACAATGTGTTATCTCTGACTGCAGCATCGGCAGTTCTTACTATCTCTACGGATTTTCAAGTTTGCCTTTACGAGTAGGAGAAAAGAAGCTATCATAATGTTGTAGAGAGATAGTAGGAACTGCAGATGCTGGAGAGTCTGAGATAACAAGATGTAGAGCTGGATGAACACAGCAGACCAAGCAGCATCAGAGGAGCAGGAAGGCTGACGTACAATGTTGTGTTGGACTGCAAACCGTGTATCATTCACACTGCATTCAGTCCATAAAATCACTACTTGTCCTTATCAGCATCTGAGCTTAATCTCCAGGGACTGAGTGAGGCTTTTTTTAAAAAAAAATTATAATACATTAGCTATACATGCCTACTCCCCTTCCATTGCACGCAGCTACATTGTCTGTTTTGTATGTTGTTTGCCTTCTTGTATGGGAAAATTAAAATGTTTGATTTCTGTCAGAGACTAATTATTACTGAGGCAAATGAGGCAAATCTTTTATCATCTGCTTTAGCTTTTTTTGTCACATAAGCTTACTGTTCATCATGAGTTTTTAGTCATTAACTGATCATGTGTAACATTTGTTACTGTACATGATTGTATCTATTTGATTCCAATGGTACAAACTTGTTCTACAGTGTTGTGATAGTGAATTATGTTGTGAAACGAATGCTCTTATTTTCATCATTTTATCAAACTTACTGCATAATCATTGTTCCTTTCTGTATGTTGGCCTTTTATATTTGTGGTATGAGCACCAATCCTCGTGACTGGAAAGAATACAAAAGAAACCTTTTATACATATTTTACTTCTGCTTTTTATTTGGTTTACGTGGGAATTCTTTAAATCTTGAAAGTTATGAATGTTCATTAACATCTATTTGCCCTCATTTCGCATTTTCTCGTTTTTGAAAACTCTGTTGTCTGTAATTTCTATATTGTACTTTTTTGTTTTTTTGCCTTTGGCACTGATTTGCTTCCCACTCAGTCGCTGTTTCTTTGATGAAACTACCTCTGTCCTTCTCCAATTTTTATATCATCTTAAATAAGCATTCTGTCCTTTTGCAGCAAGGGTCATAGAATGCTGTAGAAACGATAGTCTCATTTATAAAATGTTGACTTTTTTCAGTAAAGGTTTAAATTTACCATCAAGTATATTATTTTAG